GGCGCGGTCGGGGCCTGCGACGGACCGCGTGGCCGGGGTCCGTAGTAATGGAGGCGTGCACTCCCCATCCTGATCTGTCGCTGGCTGCGGAGCACGAGGAGCGCGCGGAGCTTGGCGGGGAGGTCGGGCACATGGTGACCGAAGGGTGGCGTCAACGCCCCTCGGCCGACGGCGGGGGTTGGGTGGCCGCCGCGGCCGGAGTGGCCAGCGGCGCTAGGGCGCAGGAGGGGGGAGGCCGCTTATCCTCTTCAACAGAACACGAGAAAGCAGATCCTTCAAGGTTTTTACACCGGGTAGTATAGATATCATTATGGGTGAAGTTGATCGTTACTGTGTCGCTTGACTAGTGTCGGCAAGCACGCAAACTATGGGACCCATGAGCATGATGAAAGAAGTGGTACAACTAGGGAGATGCAGGAGCGAGTCAACACGTGGCAGGTTAGTAAGGGCATGATTGGATGGGTTTGCATGTGTCCACGGATCAAGAGTGTGGGGAAGGGTGATTTCTCAAATCTAGATCCAGGGTTGGGGGTGGGGAGAAGGGTGTGGCTCAGCAAAGTTCTAGTGCTACCAAGTCTTTTGGTGCAACCACACACGGTAGCACACCAAGAAATGATAGGGTAAGCAGTACCTCCATCCTTTTTGCTCCATGACACTATTCGCACAACTTTAATATGCAATTACATGCCATGGTAAATACATATTAGATCAATCAAAGCATTTAGTCTCAAGTAAGTTGGGGTAGGCTAGAGTTGAAACACATAACATCTTGAAACTTAGTGATGGTTTTGGCACGTGGATAGCTAACTTTCAAGAACCATTATACATGGCTAGTTTTTTGGTGATATTTCATTCCTTTTGGTCTCTCTTTACAGACCCTTCCCATGTCAAGTTTGACCTCTCTTATGAACATGAAACCCAAAAAAAAAACATATTTGATCAATGCTGGTACTAAATTTTTTAGATTTTTTGCTGACTTTTTTTTTGAAATGGGGGCAAAAGATTTGCCTCATCTATTAAATAAGAGAGGAATAGAGATTAGAGTTTTACAATAACACCCACATACACGGCATGACGATTACTCACGCAAGATGATAGACCCTAGTCGTTTAGCACCCGCAGTAACCCAAAGCTTTGCCTCGTCCATGATGATGTTAAGAAGGATAGGCGGCGGCGCGCACTTGTGCCGGAACACCCGGGCGTTGCGCTCGTTCCAAATGGTCCAAGAGACAAGCATGGTGAGGGAGGCCGAGGCGCTTCGGCTGGGGATACGGTTGTCAGTTTGCTTGTCCCACCATTCGTGGACAGAGTCAGCAAGGTGCCAGACAGAGGTGTCCATGTGAGCAAGGCCGAGCTTGACGATGATTGACCTCTATAGCCTAAGCGTGTAGCGACACTTGAAAAAGAGATGTGCACCAGTTTCTTGTTTCCTTTTGCAAAGAGGACAGAGGCCATAATTTTTTGCTGACTTTTCAATAGTGCTACATATGTCACTAGAATTTCTCGTGGTTAGTTTCCACAGAGCATGGGGGAGAGAAAGACAGAGAGCATGCACTTGGTTTTAGAGTTAAGCCCGCTATGTATACCAATTCTAGCTATCGACCCTCGTTGCCGGATATATCCCAAACGGTTGTGGGCCCTGAACCATTTGGGACCTCCTTGCCTAAAAAACCATTTGGGACCTGATACTCAAGAATTCCAAAGTGTTTGGATAATATACCATCTCTGATATGGATTTTGTTTCAAAACCGTGTAGAATGAGTCTCACCCGTGACAGTCTTTTCGAGGTGTTTGGGTTGAGTAGTTGTAGAGTACTAGTGACTGTTGCCCAGACTTATAAATTAATTTTTATTTATTTTTTTACTTTTTTAGAAAAGGAGGCATCCCCGGCCTCTGGATCGGAAAGATGTATACGGTCACCTTTATTAGCAAGCAAACAGTTCAACAAAAGTCTTAAAGTCTCAAAAAAAGCTGCTCACAAAGAAAGAGCTAAGAAACAAAAATAAAAGCCACAACCAGCTGTCAAAAGATAGATAGGAAAACTAATTGCCTATCATATTACATGACCGCCATCCAAACCGGCTGAAGATATCCCGCGCTATCATCTCCCATCGTATAGATCCAGTAATCAAACGCTCCCTGGCCTCCGTCGGTGTGAGTAATGACCACATACGGATCAAAGCAGTGGCTCGAAATATAACATGCAAAAAATGAGTAGTTGTTGTTCTGTTAAAGACCAAATCATTTCTGCAATTCCAGATAACCCATAATAAAGCACGTACTCCTACACGAATGTGTCTCGCTGTTTGGGACTCAATCCCATTCAACCACGTCCCCAATAGCGTGCTAATATTATGTGGAGGAATAATATTAAAGGCTATGTTCACTGATTGCCATAGAATCTTTGCCAGAGGACAATCGAGAAAGAGGTGCTTGATTGTTTCATCCCTGTCACAAAAGCTACAACGAGAGGATCCAGTCCAGTTGCATTTAATCAAGTTATCCTAATTAAAATGACTTGTTTGTGTACAAACCACATGAACACTTTAACTCTCAAGGGAACTTTGACATGCCAAACATGTTTCGACGTAGGAATAGAACTAGAATTAATGACATCTAAGTACATGGATTTAACCGTAAATTATCCATTCCTAGTAAGCTTCCAACACAACTGATCCGGACGTTGAGAGAGTTGAACATCCATCAGTCTTCTTACAAGATGGAGCCAAGATTCCCAACGATGGCCAGCTAATGCTCTCCTGAAGCTAATATTTAGAGGCGTGGACTGACATACTGACTCAACGGTCGTATCTCTCCGTTGAACAATACTATAGAGAGAAGGATACTGAAGCGCAAGGGGCGTAACCCCTAGCCAGGTATCCTTCCAGAATCTCGTAGAAGTACTGTTACCGACAACCACCTTGGTCCGATTAAAAAAGAGCGATTTAACTCTCATCAGGCCTTTCTAGAAAGGCGAATCCATCGGCTTCACTGTCACCTGGGATAAGGTTTTGGATTGAAGGTACTTATTACGCAGAATCTGTGCCCATGTGGCCTCGGTCTCTCGAGAAAGTTTATACAACCATTTGCTAAGAAGACATTTGTTTTTCACCTCAAGATTTTTGATACCTAGACCCCCTTGGTCCTTCGGTCGACAAATAATGTCCCATTTAGCTAATCTGTACTTTCTCTTCATTCCATCACTTTGCCAGAAAAAACGGGATCGATAGAAATCGAGTCTTTTCCGAACTCCCACTGGTACCTCGAAAAAAGACAAAAGAAATATGGGCATACTTGTGAGCACCGAATTAATAAGAATTAAACGGCCTACATACGACATCAGTTTGCCCTTCCAGCAGCCCAATTTCTTCTTAAATCGATCCTCAATGCACTTCCATTCGGTATTTGTTAGCTTACGATGATGAATGGGTATACCTAATTACGATGATGATCGATATAAATTAATTTTATGACTATAAGAGATGTAATCATGCCTTTAATGCACTAGTGCCTAGTTAAAATGTTCAACGAACATGAGTACTTATAAACCTACTTCCTAAGACTTAGCAAAAATCATACTACTAAGTTTTGGAAAATATACAAATTAATAATAATCACCCAAGTAAGAATTGGGTACACGAACCAACATGTGTAAAAATATGAAAATGGAAAAGCTACTACACAATTGTATTGTACCTTTCTCATTTTCTGATTTTCACACACGTTGCAAATAGTTGCAACTTATCTGAAAATTCACATTGATATGCTTGTACCCAAT